GTTGATAGACAGCTGTAGTAGGTGACAGAAACAAGGGATCTATGGATTGAGGTTGAATCCACTCCCCCCATCTGCACATAACTTACACTTCCGTATTCCTTGAGGTCCAAGGCTTTCTCGTTGTTGGCCGCACTATCACACACAAACAGTGCTTCGGTGGGAGCGATGTCGTAGAAGGCACAAGTCTGAAACCGAAGTGTTCCCTACGTCCACAAAAGGTTTACAGAGTGCGAAATCCGCACAGAAGCACCTCACTTATGTACTACTTCATCTATCGCCATCTTGAGGCTCTCACTGGTACCGTCTGGTATTTCTCTCAGGTCTAACACGACTGGAGTAGGTTTGTCCGTGTGCACGTTCAAGGTCAAGGCGATGTACTCCTTGCTGTGCCACGTGTTGTGCCAGCAATCGAAGCATATCTGCGATACAAAGACGATTTTCAGGTCTCTAGCTCGTAGTCTACGAGTCGTAGACTTCAGCAAGTATCACCTGTAGTGGCCTTCTCTGTTTGGAGATCATTATTTTCAAGTCTTGCTGTCTGCTCTGTGCAAGCTTCACCATATCGCGTCTCAGGGTAGTCTCAGAGGGAAGAACTCGCTGCGCGTCCAGAGGCGACCCGAGCTTGGCACCAACGGAAGATATTACACGAACAAAATTAATCATGGCCGGGCTCTCGAACGACAGATATGAGATACCGATTTCACTCAAGAGTACCAACGCTGCCTCTCGGATTGACCTTTTCTGCTCGTCGGAAACATCGGCAGTGGGTATGAAGTGAGTGATTCTTGTTTGATTCTCAGCACGTTTGCATACGTGAGTACGCATAGCTGCTGTGGTCCCGTCTGGGCGCGGCACCACAACTTTGCATGTGTTGCAGCAAGCAACACAGCTAACTTCATCTCCTGTAGTGCGGCACAGAATCTTGGAGAAGTTCGCCCACCGAGCACTTTTGCACTGAGTTGCCGATGGTTCAGTGAGTACAAACTTGCCCTCGTCCAGAACTTTTCCACTGGGCGGTACATCTCCTTGATACGTCTTGCGCTTCTTGGAGGGTGCAGGCTGCTGGTCATTCTGCGGTGGGTTGTCACTGTGCACAGCACGCTGTATCTCGGCGTCGAGATCGACTACGGCAATGGAACCTTGAGAAATAAAATTTTTGGCACTTCGCCAGAAGCCTCGGCCCGAGACTCTCGGGTATGCAAA